CACTGAGTGCCTTGGGTCAGAACCTGGGGAATAAATGGGAACTATGGGTGTAGTTAGCCTGGTTTAGGCCACAAATGTATGGAAGTGTTCCAGGAGGCTGGCTGTGTGTAATCAGGGAGTGGTAATGGTTGCTGATTAACTAGGGTGGTATTAACAGAAATGTGGATAGTGCCACATTGCTTAATGACAACTAACCAAGTGTTAAATAGATGTGGAATTTTAAGTTCTGATCTTTCAGTACTTAAATTGCTAAATGAAGATTAAGGAAGTGTATTTTCTTATAGTCCTCAGGAGGCTCTGATCTAGAGTGGGAATGCTCTGTAGGTCAACCTGAAGGCTAGCATTGTTCCTGAGGTAATAATGGCAGTGGAATTTTATATTTCTAGCTGGAACTTCCTCTGTAAGCCAGCAGAGCTTTGAAATAACTTAGAAACTAGAAGGAGAAATAAACACAGTATTATGGTGCTATTCCATCTTGGAACAGGGATGTTGGAGTAATGAGATTCTCAGTTTCTAGATTCACTTTCTCTTTTCAATGTGGAGATAACAGTCTTCAAACAAAGTGGGGTTTTTTCCTTCTGATTTCCCTGTAGTCTCTTGCCAGCTGATCTTCTTTATTTCTCCAATCAATTTACTGTTGTGCACAATAAAGTCTTCAATGCAGTGGCCATAGCTTTACCTGTGCAATCTTTACTGTGTACCTCACTGATGCCCATGACACTACAAGAGTGTCTTGGCCTGTACAAATTCTGCTGTAGCTGATGGTGCAATAGACCATATCAGACACCCAGAACTGAATGTGAGTTTGTGGGCTGACATAAAAAAGAATATGGTCTTTGGATGTAGTGTTTTATATCAGGGTGAAAAGTCTTGTTGCTTTTTGTAACTTGCTGTTCTTTTTTATGCTTTGGTATATCGCATACTATTTGTTTAATTGTGTTACATTTGAAAAGCAGCCTGCTTTTTTGCTAGACCTGTTTTGTGGTTTTTCTACCTCAGGTCATCCAGATGGTTTCATAGTTAGTTCCTTGATTTTCTTTAGCACATCATATTAGCACACATTGGCATGTGCTGTCCTTTTTGATTAAAAAATCAGCTTGTTTAGATAGTCACTGGCTCCATTCAGCTGTGTGCAGTTCACTCCAGGCTCCTGACATCGGTGTACATGCAGCACCCTGACACGTTTCAAATCTGATCAGATCTGAGCCACCAGCTAAGCCCTTGACACTTGCCAGCTTACACACACAACAGATCCTGAAGCATGGCAGCAAAGAGCCTCTGCACTGACAACTGCAGTTGTCTGGGTTTGAAATCATCTCCCACCCAACTGGGTAGAGGCATCAGCAAAGGCCTGGCTGTGATGTGACACTCTGTGTGTTGATGGGAATTTCCTGCAGTACCTAGGAGCCTGTCCTGTGTCATTTCTGAGGTTATTGTCATTAGCCATGTCTGTGTTCATGGTCCCAGGACTCTGGGTGCTCAGAGTGCTCAGCAGCATTAGGATGCTTGTGAAGATGAGGATGCTTGTGAGTATCTGTCACAGTTTGATGCTGGCACAATGCCAGTGCCCCCATGAAAATACATTCTCCCTGGTGTCTGCTGTGAGATGTGACCAGGAATAGAGCAAAGCAGGCTCCAACTTAGGAATGAAGAAGAGAAAACTTTATTAACCTACAACTATATGTAAAAAGAAACACACAGAAAGAATGAAAACCTTCCAAAAACATTCCTCCTCCCCCACCAAATTTCTAATATATCCATCCCTCATATCACCAACTCTCAGTCCATCACCACCCTTCAGATAATCAATTCTCAGTTCATCAAGAGGAGAGGAGTCCCTCTTGTGCCATAGGCTTCCCCAGGAAACACAGTTGAAACCTTGTGTGCTTCCATGTCATTCATGGCACCGCCCAGAGAACATTTGCTGTTGTGACTTCTTCCTTCCATGCCCAGTGCTCTCACCACTGCACATGGACCAGAGCTGCTTCTTTTAAGGATGCTTTGTCCAGTTCCAAAAAAGAGCACAGTCTCTCACTTTTGGGACACCTGTTCCCCCCAGATTTCATCCCCTGGGGCCGAGGGGTCTCAAGAACAGAGATCTTCTCCTCCACTGAAGATCGAGGGCACCAACCACCCTCCTCACCCGTCACCTCTGTTCACATACTCCTTCACATAACAACACTGAACTCTCTTGGCTCCGAGCCATTGCCTCCCCCCAAATGCAGTCTCTGCGTCACAGGAAAAATGGTTCTGTCCATGGCTATACAAGAAAGTCCAGCCAAAGGCCACTCCATCACCTCCGCCCACCTAAGATTCTTCTCCACTTCCCTCGTGGCCCATTTCCTCTATCTCATCTCTATCTCTCTTCTCATTCAGCTCCAGGAGGATTAGCATTTGTAAGGTTTCCATCATCCAAGAAAAGGGTTAAAAATCTCAGGCTCTGCCTGTCCAGAACTCCCATGGCTGCCTTGCTGGGCACCTTCTCGCCGCACTCCCCCACTTCTCCTTCTCAGCCAACAAACCTGCTATAAAATTTCAAGGTGGCACAGGCACAGACACCGACGCGCTTTGTCTCTCTCTCTCTCTCTCTCTCTCTCTCCTGCGGGGGGGTGGGGTGGCTGCCCGATGTCTCTTGGTGCCCCTCCACCCTGCCATCCTCAGGGCCCAGGCCCAGCTCACCTGGCAGCTGGGCAGGGGAGAGGGAGAGGTCCCAATTCTTTCCCCACCGGAACCCAAGAGAGGTTTTCCTGGGAGTTCTCTGCTTTTAACCCCCGTGTTCTCAGAGGCGTATCCATGTCCCCAGTGGCCACACCAGGTGCCAATATTAAAATCTGAGCACCTATTGGTTTGACCACAGCATCCCAAAAAACTCACTTCCTCTCAAACCACAACAGTATCCAAAAGGAAACACATGAAGAGTAGGAGCAGTAAGGAAAGCACACAAAAGGTTTTTCTAGCAAGCATTTTGTCCCATTTGCCAGCTTCTTAGCTTTCTTTGATCCACTCTTAAATAAGTACAAGTTACCAGCAGACAGTTTCTATTCTATGCTTGCTTGTAAAAATGCATGCTGGTACCCTGTAAAACTGTTAAATAGCTCTTTAGGTTCAGCTTTAGGTTCCTTCAGCCCTGTGCTTCTGTTACATGTGCCCATTTCCCTGAGGTAGGATTCAGTTGCAGAGATTTTTTTCAAGCATCAATGCCTTTTGCTGCAATTAAATACAATGGAGGAAATATGTCAAGTTCTTTTCAAAGAAAGGAGATTTTGATGATCCATTTTTCTGTGGAAAAAATCCGTTATCCTAAGTTTATGCCCTTACCTACCCAAAGCTCTTTTCATTTATGTGGTGTATTTTCACCACATGATGCAGCAAACATGTTTCTGCACAGTTATGCTATGCTTCTGAACATCTGGACAAATGTAAAACCAGCAAAGAATGTAGCATTTCTTGGACAAATATCTACACCAAGTAAGTTGGTCCAAATAATTTCCCAAATTCATGCAGTGTGTGGATGCATCATAATCTTTATTTAAGGTGCTCCTCTAACTGGGAAAAGCAATTTGCCGATATCTGAAATTATCTTCTTTCCCTCCAGATGTTTTTCTTCAAGAGCTTGTATGGTTTTCTGACATCTTAGTAGGCTTACCAGTGAAATCCCAGTAATGGATAAAGCTTTTCTTATCAGCAGATATTTCTTGGGTTTGGGGTGGGTAGAATAGAGTGCTTTTATGTCAGTATAAACACTCAGTGGAGTAACCTGTTGTTTGCTGTAGTCCAGGCAGAATTTAGTCTGTGTCCTGTTCTTTCCTCATCCAGTCCACTCACTGGGCAACAAATACCATGGTTTCAGAGAACTCCTCTTCCTGTGGAGCTGAGACCAAGGGAGCTGCATTCATCTTCCCCAGGCTGCTCCTGCTGTGTGTGCAGGGCCTCAGCTCAGTGTGCCCTCCCTGAGCCATGATGTTGAGAGCAAAGCTGACCGTGGTGCTGCAGCTCTGTGCTGCGTGTGAGTGACACGGTGTCTTCACACAATGTACTTAAGGGATTCAGAGAACTTCCAGAACTTCGAGCTTGGAAACATTCCGAAGGGAGACTCTTGTTTTTAACCTCTTTAGAAGTGACAGGAATAAAACTGAATACAAAGCATTCTGTGATTTCTTTCTTATGTCTAAAATATAACCTCTATAAAATGAAATCATTCCTGCAAGCCACTATCACCTCCCTCTTGGTTTTTCCTTAGGGTCCTATTCCCATTCACACTGGCAGCAGTGCAAAGTTGCCTCAATGCAAATGAGGATCAGGCCCTTTATGCCAGCATTAGAGTTTAAGTCTAGGCCACAGTCCTCTCCCATTAGCAGAGGATAAATATCTGCTAGAAATTGGAACTCAGAGGGTGAGAAGTTGTACTGCATCGCTGTGTTGTGTTAATCCAACAGAGATCAGTCTTGTTTAAATTAAGCAATGGCAAAAAGGAAGTTAGATTAAATTCAGTCCTTTTTGAACTATTTAAATGCGTATGGGAATTAATTTCAAGCTGCTTCTTCTCAATATCTAACCAGGAAAAAGGCTGCCTGGCCTGAAACAGGGACTCAGTTTCATTAGCAGAAACAGTCATGTGGAAATCTGAGATTAATGTTTAATACCTACATCACCGTGTCCCTTGTCATTCCGTCTTCTTCAGCAGAGTCCACAAACGATCAGCTCCATGATTGGAGCTGTGGAAGCACTTACATGGTGCTGTTCTCAACATAGAGTATGTTGAGAATGTGGAGGTGATACCATGGAAGAGTTTCCAAGCACATCATCTCCAGAGTGTACAGTTACTTGTGGAACACACGGCAAAGGCTTCCCTATAAAAAGACAGAAGGAAGTGTGGGTAGTTTGGGGATTTTTTTTCTTCTGTTTTTCAGAGCGCAGCACACTGAATACGCACAAAAAGAGCAGATAAAGCAAATCTGTATTCTAACAGCAGGATGTCTTTTCTCTTTTTTCCCTCTGAGGTGATTCACTGGAACTCACCGAAGAAGCTGCGAGTGAAAAACAAGCATGTGGAGTTTTTCCGCAACCTCTACCTGACATTCCTGGAATATGATGGGAATTTGCTGAGACGGGAACTCTTTGGCTGCCCCAGTGAAGCAGATGTTAACAGTGAGAATGTAAGTGGGGTGTCTAAGGCTTGGTGATACAAAGGGTGGTTCAGAAAACACAGGATTTCTGCAGACTCAGAGTTGGTTGTGGGGGTAGTGCAGGGCAGTGGAACTCAGGAGAATTAAAGGCAATGCTCAACACCCTGAAAGACATTGTGCAAATCATTTAATCTCTCTGTGCCTCAGTTCCTCACCTGTAAAACCATTGTATTAATCCCATCTTCACCCTGGGTTTTGCTGCTTTTTTTTGTCTCCTTTGCCCTTTTAAAATCCCCAACATCACAAGCTGAAAATGAGGATTTGGGCTCTTATTCCATTAGGCAGTCTCACCCTTAAATCCTGTCATGATTTCAGCTGGGATAGAGTTAATTTTTTTGCCTTCGTAGCTGGGGCTCTGTTTTGGATTCAGTATGGCAGACCTATAACTTTCCAGGAGGTCTTGTTTCTTGCTGTATATTTGTTCAATATACAGTGATGTCAGTTTTGTCTGGTAGATACTAATGCACAAATAATGAAGAAGAAAGGAAAATACCAAGACGACTGATATTTAGGTCTGTGAATTTTTGCTGTGCTGCAGACTGCAGAATGAGCAAAGGCTTCAAGGTACACAGAGGCTGTGAGACTGCAGGTTTTTTCTATCCCTTAACCCATCAAAGCAGTATTTATGTGTGTCTGCATAAAATCTGCAATCAGAACCTTTCAGACTAAGCAAATCTTTTGAAAATGATTGAAATCAAGGATGTTTACCCACAGATGTATGTGTATGTGTATGCCTGTGCATTAGTACATATAATTCCAAAGTAAAAAACTGTTAACTGAAATGTTTATACCCAGATGTATATGAACTCTTTGTGTATAATATGGTTTCTGGAGATTTGTAGACCAAGTGCCAATTTTGCCTACATAATCTGAAAGGAAATAAAAAGGAATCTGTAACAGTTTATTCAGGAAAAAAATATTTCTAAAATATGCAACGTTGTCTACATAAAAATCAATTAAGCAAAGCCAGTATCATGTGCACATTAGCAATTAAGAGGTAATTGACAATATCATCATTGAGGCTGGTAGTGTTTCCATTTAGCATGTGAATAAAATGACCACAGGAGATGCCATTCCCATATTTTTAGATACAGCATTAAGAGATTGGATAGATATATTTTAACCCAAGGCACAACTTCCCAGACACTTTATTTTACCATCTCATTGTCTTCTGAAAGGAGTGGGCCTTAACTAGGAGAGACAAGGAGGTGAGGAAGAGCAAGAGAGAGAATGAGAGAGAGCGAGGACAAGTGCACCAGCAAAGCAAAAGCACATGGAGGAAGAAAATCCTCTGCAAGAGCCTTTTAGACAATCAAGTGAACTCAATGTGATAAAAGACCACTAAGAGCCTTGCCCTTGGAGACATCAAGGTACAAGAGGCAGGGTAGAGGGTAGAATAGGAAGAGAAAAGCTTACTGAGACATTAAAAGAAAGACAACAATACACACCTCTTATAACACTTTGAGAATGCAGGTTAAAATTGTACTGAATTCACAATATGTAATGTGGGTTCAAAGAGCATGAACGCAGTCACAGACTTCTTGCTGTATTTTCCAGGGCTCTATTAATCCTTAATAAACAGATTTATTCAGACAACAAGTTCCTTGGGAGCAGTGCAGAGCAAATGCAAGTCCTTGCTGTAAATGGCAGTCCCTAAAGTTTAAAACAGCACATTTTACTGAACTTGTATCTGGTTGACAGACACTGGAAATGACTAACTGTTCAAGCCTGTTTCTTATTCAAGACAAGTAGAATGCAATATGGTATATGATATGGTTTGTGTCTGAAAAAGAAACATAACTCATTCCTCCATTTATAAATCATATATATATTTTTTTTTTAAGATACTGGAAAAGAACAAGCTAGGCATACAAAAATATGTGATTCCCAATTTGCCAAGAGGCACCAAAAAGTTAACAGCCTTCTATCAACACAATCTGAAGTAGGAAAAAATCCAACTTCAGAAGACTTCAGAGTCCTCACTTAGGAGAAGACATTTGTATTAGCTGCCCTCTATATAAACTCCCCTCTAGACTTGACTATGTCCTTTTATTGTAGAACATAGCAAGCAAGTTTCAGCTTTGAAGTTATGAGACCCTAAGAACAGGATTATCTTGGAAACAAGTCTTGCTCTATCTGCTGTAGCATATACAGTGTCACAGGTGTCCTGTTAAATACAGCACATTCCTGTGATCTATTGCAGGACCATCTTCAGAAGCAGAGCATCTTGTGAGGTGAGGAGGAAAGCGCTGTCATTTCTCCCTGTACAAGAATTAGGGGGCATGAAGTGGAAACAGCAAGTAGCAGGTTCAGAACAAAGACATTTCACTCACAATGTGATGAACCTTTGAGCAGGAGGTAATGTTTCTAAAAGTATGCATGTCCTCAAAAGTTACTCTTCTCAGAAAGCAAATCAATCAGGAGCTTTTAAGCTTTGGTGCTGGAAGTCCTTGAGCCACAAGTTGAGGTCTAGGTTAGAGTTTTGAGAAATCCTCACTTTTACACTCCCTAGGCAGCCAGCTCACAGCTGGAGAGAGGGTGCTGGCCCAGGTGTGCCTTCAGTCTAAGATGCATTCATAGACTTCCATTAGAATTCATAAGCTTGTATGTTACATGAAAGGCTACCATTTTTGTTAAGTCAGGTATGTATGAGGTAGGAATTGCTGATTAAGTTATCTTTTCCTATTATTTTTCCTTTTTTTTTTTTTCCTGAATTGAGACTGGCACCTCCAAACACAACAGGGCTTTCTTACCTTAGGCAGTGTACATGGGTAGAAGGTGCTCCCTCAGCTGCCTGTGCTTCTGTGCACTGTGAAGCAGTGGAAGAAATGTCAGAACAGCTCTGCTGTTTATAATTGGAGAGAATTACTTGAGCACTAAATGCACTGAGCCCTGCTGTGGAAGAAGCAATGGTTTGGTGTGAGTCTCACTCACAGTCTGGCTGTGTCGAAAGATACCCTTAAGGTCTTGTTCCAATATACCAGCTACTGTTTTTGTACAGCTTAATATTTGTAGTGATGTTTTATTTACAATTCAACCTGTAATTAAGGCATTCTATTTGTAATGCAAATATCTGTAGAACAGGAAAAGGAAGCATGGCAGTGGGGACCGCTGGGCTGATTCTGTTTCTCTAAGGCCCCTTTACACTTCTCATCAGTACAGAGATGGCCCTAAAATGAATGTAAATTACATATCTTCCCTTTTTAAGGACTCTTAACAGTGCCAGAGAGATGTAAAGGGGCATTACTTTAAAAGGTAATTGGATCTCACTTCAATCTCTCTCACCCTTCCTCTGTGCATGCATGTGAATACATGTATGCTTAAATATATATTATGTCTATATACATGTGGAAGTACCAGTTCTTTTCTTTTTCTAATGTTTTCTATGAAAGTATAATACCACAGAGTGAATTTTAAGAGGTCTGAAGGCCATCTTCAGATAATGTACTGCGTAGTTCTGATTTAATCAGATGCTGATCTTCATTTTCACCCGACTCTTACTAGGTTCCAAAGCACTGCAAAGGAGTGGATAGAACAGATAGGGCTCAGAAACTGAAATACTGGAGGCAAAAAGAACCCCACTGAATGTGATAATTTATCTGTTTATGTAAAAATGCTTATATGTATGTCTATGTGTACATGAGTGCTTCATCCTTTCTTGAAAATACTCAAGCTCCAAGACCTCTATGTGGCAGGAGCAGGCTGGGAGCAGGAGCCTGCCATGTGCTAAGAGTACCCTTGTTCAATACGTGCTTGAGTGAGGTCATGCAAAGCAGACTCTTCTCTGTAAGTTGGTATTACAGTAATCCTTTTGTCTTCTGTGCAGATTCTGGGTGGAAAATCCAGAATAGGAACCAAACCCTCCTGTAAGCACAGTCATTGACTTGAGTGGGCCTTAGAGCGTGTCCTTAGTCACTCTATCCTACTCATTCCATGCTATTTCTCCATTTCCACACCCTCTTTGTTATTTGGATGCAATGTGGAAGATTTTTGAGAAATCCAAAAAGGCAGTCTCAAATAATAATATAATAATCTCACATTTGGACATTTTCAATTGGATTTTAATGCTTATATCCAGCATTTTATTCTAAAGGACCTACTGTAAAGCCCAGAATATTTCAGCAGGATCTTCCAGCCAATCTCTATAGTTACTGTATGAGATAGTTACTGTCAGCCTGATTTTAGACCAAGGCACACACTCAACCTTTCAGCATTCTTATAAAACTTCTTTCCTGCAGACAGGTTCTCACCAGGTACTTCTGCCAAAGTATCTGAAGGTTGAATGGAGCATCCCTGTTAGTGAAGCCTGTGTCCTGATCCAAAACCCCAGGGCAAGATCAGTGGGAAGTGTATCACTGATTCTGCTCAGTTTAAGGAAAGGACAGTAGAATCCCATTAGAGAAGACTTTTAGGAAACACAGGAGGAAAAAAAATGTCTGCATGTTTTTCTTCTCAAATTTTCAAATCAGCAATACAAAGAAACAGTGTAAAAAACTCCAGCTGTCCCTTAACACACTTGCTTAGATGTGTACTTACACACTAAGTATGTTTTTACTTAGTTACTTCTTTTGCGCAAAACCAAAGATTCCTAATATGAGCAAAAGGCTGTGCATGCCAACTAATAGTATTCACCAGAAAAGAGGGAGATTTTACCAAGGTACCACACAATATAAACAGAACTAACAAATCAGCAGTTTCTGAGTGACTATGATTGCATGTAAATGAAGCTTCCAAGTCAGTATCACAGCCCTGAACTCGCAGTCTGACTGATGCTTTGAGTACCCTTTGCTCCTGCTGAATTTCAAGAGTACAGCCTCATTTGTAGAACCGCAATTTAAAGTTATTATTTTGTGATGTCATAGTCTTTCTCTAGTAATAACAGATGGTATATAGCAGTTTTGAGGTGAAATCCTGACTGCCCCAGCTGTGTTGTTTCTATTATTGTAACTGTTATTGTTATTAAATGCTGA